CCTTCTCTGACAGCTGCCTAAGAAAGAAAAAGCTGAAACTGAAAGAGTTCAGATAGGTATTAAAAAAGTGATTAAAGGTATAGTAGTACTTCTATAGGAACAAAGAGAGTCAAAAGAACCACGATAATTCATTTTGAATAAGGTGAATAATAGGGATTTGATTGAGGTGAGAAGATTAGTAAGAAATGACTACTGTCTTCTTTTTAGCTCTATCTCAAAGTATGAAGTAAGGAGATAAAGTGAAATTAAAGGACAAAGGGAATTTTTTTTTTTTTTTTTTTTTCCCTGGAGTGTAGTCATTCATTGGCATTTGCTGTTTCAGGAGGCCACTGAGACAAGTCAGGGGCTGATCGTAGCTGCCTTTTAAGGGTTTGTTAATAGCAATTAGCAAAACATTTTTCCTTTGAGTTTCCAGACCAGTACTGAGTAAAGCAGATATATGTTAAAAAACAAGGACTAGAGCACAGTGGTGCATAAAAAAATTATAGGTATATGAATTATAGAGAATACCTCTACTTGAACTCCCACAAATATTTATGACCACAACAGCTTTTTTGGTTGCCAGGGTGGGAATGAATGTGGTTGTTTTCTTCCAGGTTTAAAGATAAGTGTTTTTCATTTGCTCTTCTCATTAACAGCAATTTGGGTAACGTTCATCTTACTTGAAAGCTGCTAGTGTAAATACCTGTAAATGTTAATTGTTTTTGCAGATTTCAGATGATGGAAATTGGTACTTTTAGGGCATAATTTGTATTATCTTGCATAGATGTCTAAAACAGTCTAGATGAACCGTGTTCCAAAAGTGAGTATTTCTTCACCTGCTACATATTACTTCTTACAGAACCAATCTAGACAACAAAGTTATATGCAGGTAGCTGCAATGTAAGCATCTACAGTCAGGTAAGATGAATCTCCTATTGTTCATTGATCACACTTGTTCACAACTGCCATTTATAGTTGCAGTCTTGCAGAATGTCAAGAAAGATTATCTGCAGCCTCTCCTGCTTCTACTTCATGCCTCCAGTACATAGATTCTTCTACATTCACTCCTGAAAAAGTGGTATCACAAAATCATATAGCTTATGATTATCCTTGATAATCCACTATCATTGACAATGGGTTTCATCAGATATTGATGGAAGCAGTCCTCTGTTTATATCACAAAGTTTTAAAATGGGAATACTTTGGATCTGCTAAAACTACTGTGCACAAGAGCTGGCTTTTTTGTGTTTTTCAGAATTCATACAATAATATATTTAACTGACAAAGTCATAATGACTTTCCAGTTGCTGTTAATCTACTTGGAGTTCTTAACTACCCAAGGACAGTCTGCATAAGGTAACTGAATTCTGTAAAATATACCTCTGTTCCTGCAGACAATATCCAATGTCCTAAGATTGATCTCATTTATGCAGTAGTTTTCTGTCACTGCAGCCATCAGCGGAAACTAGGTAAAGGTGTAGATGCAATTTGATACTATGTATTTTGCCTAACTGTAAGTGCAGATGAGAACCTGGCTTCTAATGGAGGCAGATGGCCAGCTACCAAAAGCATTTTTAGTATCACTTTGATCATATTGGTTCACACATGCATGGTTACTTACATGTCTACTATAGTTTTTGTGTGTTCCCAAGTGCCTTATAATCTTGAATGGTTCACCTTCACTACAGTTCCATGAAGTAGGAACACTGCATTTTCTAAATGCGGGCAACCTGTGTTTGTTCTACAGTTCCTTAAGTACTTGGAAGAAGAGTGTTTATTTAGTGCACTACTGCATTCTTCTGACTAATTTCCTACAGGAAAGCTCTGGGATTCAGGAAGGCTTAAGTGACTTGTCTAAGATTGCACAGAAAACACAAGTCTTGCTATATCAAAATTGTTAATACTGCTAGAGATAAATGGTTCTTAGCTGTTATTGCAAGATTTTGTCAGCATTGATGAATCTTAAACCTAATATTTTTTATAATTCAGTAGTTTAGAATATTTTTCACCTATCAAGCAAAAAATTTAAAAAATCTGGCATATGAAAACTTGGCTAATTTAAGCTTTTAGATGCCTTTAAATAGTTAAAATATAGATGTCCTGGATTAATAGAAATTTGAAACAAGATAAAGCAGAATGAAAGCAGAGAAATGACAAATTGATGTATGAGAAGCAATATATGAGATGAGACTGATAAATTATCTTCTGATATGTTAATTAATTCCAGATAGAAAAGTTGGCAATATGATGATTTATTGAGATTTTAATAAAGTAAATTAAAAATTGAAAGGTGATCTGAGTCAAAGAATCCCCAGGAATCCTTTGAAAAAATAATTAAGAGTTTGAACATTTAAAGAGGCTTTTTATAGGCATAGACCCTGATATTCACATATACACACATTTGCATTTTAAATAGGTACATCTGAAAAATCTACTAAGCCTACATTCAGTAGCAGTTCTCCTTATACTTGCATAGAAATAACAAATTTTAAAATACTTATTTAGATCTATGCACTGCACTCCTGTATGCACAAAAAAAAAACCCCCAAAACAAAACCCACAACAAACCAACCCCTCCCCTCAAGATACCAAACAAAAAAACCCACCTGTATTTAGAGCCAGGTGCTATTCAGCCACCCAGAAAATCCTGCATGCCTGTTTGGTACTGAGGAGTAAATATGCACACAGACACAAAAATACTTGAACAAATCAAATATTTGTAATTAAAACTTAGCTTTAGTCAAAAGGAAACAGGTAGGACTTCTTCAAGGAAAGCTAATTCTGAAGTGCTGTATTTTTCTGGTTTCCTTTCCCACTAGAGACACAAGCAACTACCTGTAGGAAAAACCTGAAACTATTGCTGTGGCAGGAAAAAAAAGCAATTGTAGCTGTCAGCTCAGAATGCTGGTCATTCTAATTAACTAGGTGAAATTTATACAACTAAGATGCATGATGATCCAAAGACAGCCAACATGGCTTTAGTTTGTCTCAAAAATGTTCTTATTGGCTCAGCATCTGATACAACATACCTGATTGTTAATGTTCACATTGTAATTTTTTAGCATTAGAAGCATATTATATAACTCTGAGAGATAATTCTTATAGTACAGAATTTCTAAACCCACCAGTATTCTATTTACATTACAGTGAATATTCAAACAACATGGATTCATCTTAAGGGGAAAAATAATCTGATTTATCCAAAAATAACAAGGTAATGGATGAGATTCAACACACTGAAATAATAAATTTACATAAAATACATGAGAAATGTATCCTACTTAATGTTATCTAGCTAATGTTTTCCTTACTTTTTTTTTTTTACTGCTCAACTCTTTATTTCTTTTCTCTTTTAATGATCTATTTAGCATTTGTTGATCCCTTCCCCAGCATCTAAGTGAATCTGCATCTTAAAACAATAAATTCTAAGTTTTTCCACATGAAATATGGGCACTGTTTTATGCCTCATGTGTTACTGCAATGCTTTTATTGTTGACTTCTACTGCGGAGTTTGGAATTTCTCTCCATACAGCTGCTGTTGAATGTTTGCTTTTGTAGTAAATAAATGCGTGTCTTTTTCTCTCTCCCTTCTCAGATATTTCCAGATTTCTCCCATTCTCTCCCATTTATTGAAATAGATGGAACTATTGATTTTAAGAGATTTGGAAGAGAATTTATTTTCTGTTCCATTTTTGTCAAGGTTTATTAGTAGACCAGACTGATAAACACAGAAACACCATTACAGAGAACAGGGCACCTATCCCCGGGGATGTTTTACTCACAGCAGAGGTATAGGAACAGTACGGCTGAGTTCTGTCTGCACAGTTCAGGGTGCTGCTTACAGTGTTTGTGACTATGTATTGATTGGTGCAGAATTACATGCGTAAAGGATGATAACAGTGATTCACATCAATAGAGGCATTGTCTACAAAGGAGTGTGGCTGTTTATTTTTATTGAAAATTCTATAGCATTATGTAAAGAAATTGTCCCAACAGTACTTGCCTTTCCTTTTTACAATATTTTCCCTGGTTAAACATGCATCAATTTAACTACCACTGAAGGAAGTCATAGTAAATTAACAGCTGGCTGGTAAGCCTGGAGCTTTAAAGAGGAAACTGCTCCTTCCTCTTTACAAAAAGCTTTGAAACAAATCAGTTTCTCTTCAGTTATTTGGTCACAGTGATTTAAGTTTGGATAAACTGAACTAGATGTCAATTGGATGAAGGAGAGATTAGGATCTACCAGCACACACTGCTGGCTTCCAAAGACTGGAAGAAAATGTCACACTGTAATTTTTTTTTACAAAGTACCAGAGCACAGGTATTTGGTTGAGGATAAACAGAAAGATTATCAGAAAAATGTTTCCCAGCACCTTAAAAAAATTGATCTTTCTTTTGTTAATGTGTTTATAAATGCAAACTCAGTGCCATTCCCATTCATAACAGACTTGATAACTTCTGGGTATCATTCATCAAGAAAACTGTGCTGGCTCTCAAATCAGACATTTATTAAATAATGTAATTCATACTTCATTCTCATAGGCAAAATGCTTGATTGTATTGGACCATGAATAAAGCTCTAATCTGATTTAACTTCTTTCTTGTGTAAACATATAGGAAAGGTTCATGACTAATAGCAAAATCCACATGAAATGTGGATAATCCAAGTAATCTAAAGAACACTATAGGGCAGAGATTGCAAATTTGGAGTTTCTGTTTAAAGCATGTTGCACAAATCTTTTTCAAACCCATCATGTTTCATTAAGAATATATGTCACTGATTATTATCAACAAAAAAAAAATGCCCTAGATTAAAAAAATGGGTGTTCATAGAGTTTGATCTAAAAGTTACAAGTTCTTACCATGAGCCAAATTCAGATTAAATTAGCAGAAGAATCTGGCTTTGAATCATGCCATTTAGTGTAAAATTGAGGATCTGATGAGTAGAGGTTGGCCCCTATGATTTGTAACAGTTTACCTTACCACCTTTTTGCCTCATCTCCTCTCTGATACTGCAGATCCAGATAGTTCTCCAGATAATCATCTAGATAAGAAGTGTGTGATGAATCTCTCTTCAACTTCACCAGCTCCCACATTTGAAGTTCAAGCATCAAGGTAATTCCAGGTCTTTGTTCTTTTTTTCCCCAAAGTTTCAGCTATTGGAAATTTGTGAATATATTAAATATATTAGTGTAAGTATCTTAGGTTTTTTTTTTGTTGTTTTTGTTTTGTTTTGTTTTGTTTTGTTTTGTTTTCTATTAAAGAAATGCCTATGTTTTCTAATTGTAGAGAAAGAAAAGTGTGGATATATGAAACCAGAACACCCTGAAGGCTTAAATATGGAAGTAAAATCAGACTGAAGACTAAAGAAATTGGTAATTTTTTGTTTCATTCTTGCATTTCTTTGGGACTGGCTTATTTTTCTAAGCCACCTGGGATAGCAGATGGTGCCAGCATACTTTTGAACCTAGTTAATTTTTTGCATGTTTTTGCCTAGCATTGTGTCTCACAAGGGTCTGGTTTGGTTCCTATCCTTATGCGTAAAGGACAGTTTGTTTTATCAGGAGTTTGAGGGCAAAATAGCCTGAGTTATTATTAGGATAATCTATATCCAGTTGCAACCAAGGAAGACATGCAACTGTTTTCCATTTATATGACTGAATTACGTGATATAGGTGAGATTAGCCAAGACAGATTCCCTGCAGATTTAACTTATCATGATTGGTTCAGGCAGGAGGTCTGAAGAAAGTGTTATTTCCCTAGGCCTTTTGAATTGTGATGAGGTACCATACCCGCAGGGCAGCAGGTTGTGCAGTCTACATGCTGTTATTGACCAGAGGCTGTAATTCAAGGACCCGAAGGGACTGTTAACTTTATTGCGATGAAAATGAGATCAAGCTCTGTTTGAATTCCCTGATGATAATCATGATGCTATCTTTGTGAAATGGCAGACAGATTAAAGAAATACATGCAGTATATTGGGCAACTTGCATAAATGATCTGTTGCCTGCAGCTGATTCACTAAGTAGTTGTGTGTTCTTGTTGCAAGGAGAGATTAGCAGAAAGGAGCGTGACTGTTCACAATGTTTTGCTATCTGTATCAGCTGCCTGGTAGCCCAAGGTTTAAGATTTTTCATTTAAAGTCCCAAGAGGGTTGCATCCCAAGTGCTTTTTTGAGCTTCTGATGCCCTGTACTCCACTTCAATCTTGACAGTTAGGAGAGAGAGATTTGGGGCCTGAGGGTTTTCTGAAATGGAATGAACTGAGTGTGTACAGTCTTTTCCTCTGGAGTACTTTTCCTCCAGAGCTAAAACGTGTCACAAATTTATAGTGTATTTAAAAACATGCTTTCCAACTATGACTGGAAAGCTTTGTGCAACAATACTTTTAGTTGTAATTACTTCACTGTTAGTAGTTATGATTTAAAGTAGCAGACTAAGGAAGAAAGACTGGAAATTCTCTAACCTTATTAAACAGTAAACACTCTTTGACTTGAACATTGCTGATGAAAAATTATTACAGGTTTTCAGCTTAGTGCCCAGTGTTCTGGGGAATCTTTGAGAAGATATTATGCTTGTTTACTTTAAATCATAAGATATTAAACAATTCAAATAAGATTTTTATGTTTTTCACTTGTATAATGCACAAAGGGCAAGCTACTAAATGTGCTCAGACTTTTTTGCTAAAGGTATCTTTGTCTACTTATATTTCAGCTGCCTGTCATGACTACAAGATGATCCAAATTCATCCTCACATCCAGTGAAATCCTGACAGGTTTTCTCATGTTGAGTAGGATATAACTGTATCTGAGGACCTACTGAAGTCACAGGTATTGTGAACAAAATACCATAATACAGCACAACCAAATCAATGGTCCGGATCCACAGCCTTAGTTCAAGTGTTATGTCTTACAAGTAGGAGTGTGTTTCTGGTCAAAGGTGGTTTTTTTTCTGGTCAAAAATTTAGTCTCCTCTTTGTTCATTTTTATCTTCCTTTATCTTATTTATCAATAAGGTACTGTAAGTGCTAAAATGTTTATTCAGACTTTTCTGTTACTCTTATTTTTGGCATTGTCTTATACTATGTATAAGTTACTTAGATAAAGTCTTGCAAATGCTTCCAGTCAGTACTACACTTAAGTCAATTATGTAAAGTTTGTCAGTTGTTCTTGCCAAGCCTATTACCGCTTTAAAAAAATACTGCTGCACTGTCATTCTTTGATATTCAAAAAGACCTCAATGTTCATCAGTGAACACAACTTCAAATCACTAATAATAAAAAAAAATATTTTGTCAGTTCAAATAAAATTCTTTCTAAAGTAAACCAAAACTATTTAGAATAATTACTTTGCATTACTGTTAGCATCGAAAATACTATATTTATATTTATTCTATGAACTGGTGGCTTAATCTGCACTGAAGGCGTGTTGGAAACTGTTGGAATATATTCTGTCATTTGGTTCAGCTTTAGGCAATTACACATTGGAGTACTTTGGTACTCTTTTTAAAACATATTGGTCTGAAATTTGCACTGAAGGAATCTGCAGTATATCTTCCTGACCCCTTTTTGAATTGAATTAATAGAATATTAATTTATTTTAGATGTGCCAGAAGCATCATCCTATTACTAATAAGTTGAAACAGACAGCAGGAAATGCAGGTCCCTTCCTAGCGTTGCCAGAATGCATCTCTGTGTGTATCCAGCTATCTGGGTGATATGTTGACAGAATGAGGCCAGTGATGCATATAAAGGAATTTCCCCTCCGCCCCTCTCCTTGCAGTTTATTGCTTGTCATTGACTAACTCTCTGACCAGAATTTCTGCAGGAAAAATAAAATTAAAACAGAAATAGCTTCTATATTAGCATTACTATCAAATGTTTAATTTGTGTATTGATAAGAGTACTTACGTTTCAGAAAGTGCAGTTATTTCATTTGGCTTATCAGCCATCTAAGACTAAAGTAGCATTAGCTAACTATAAATTAGTTTTGCTGCAGTCATTGTAACTGACTGAAGTCAGAGCAACATTTTTGGAGGACATGAATCCAAACGCTTTTTTTTATTAACGGGAAGTGATTTTTTTTCTTATCCCTCCCCCAAACCACCCTCAATCATTACGTTTGCTATGTGTGTTAGGATTAACTATTTTTTCTTAATTGCTTGCAAATTTTAATCTGATTCACTGACATACTAACAGCACAGAAACAAGATTTATTTTTGAAAGCCATAGTTTTAGGTTTTGTTTGTTTGTGGGTTGTTTTTTTTTCCTCCTTTTTTTTTTTTTTAGGAAAGCTCAATTTAAGAGCAAAACTATTTATTCTACAATAGAGAAAAGCCAGATTTCAATAGTAAATAAAAAAAGCCAACCACAGACAAGAATTTATACACAGATAAAAAATAAACCCCCAAAGATAGTAAGTGTCTGGCAGTGAAGTCGCATTTATGTGAAATAAACATCCTGGGCTTTAGTGGTAAAGTGAGGTAACATAATCCTTTTCCCTTTGATAATGATATACAGATGATCAGGACAGGGAGTCATACAAGCTTATATAACTGTACCCGATATTTATTTGATAAAGAGGATTCATGGACAAAAGACCCTAACAAGATAACAAGCTCCTGTATTTTCTGGCTCATTATATCTAGTAGCACCTAACCACTCATTTCCACCTGGCCTAAGAACTGGAAAAACACTTTTTTCTCAGATTGAATTTGACGGCATGGGGAAACCACCTTTCCCAAATGCACAAAAGCAGCTATTTGGATGGCTGAAACAGCCCTGATCTCTTTATATATAATCTGGAGCACACAAGTGATTCAACAGTTACCCATTTAAGTGACTGCAGTTCTATTTCATACGCCACTTTTTTCACTTATGTAGAAATGTAAGACACTTAGCTATCACCCTACACAATAATTGTACTTTTAATGCAAATTATTAACACTGTGAACTCTGCCCATAGCACATTGAAAGCAGCTGGCAAAAAGGGTATTTTCTGTAAACACTTTTTTTCAAGGGAGAGGTGGGGGAGTGTGACACAAGGCATAAAAGAAGTAAAAAGAAAATGAACAATTTTCTAATGGTGATAAAAATGTAGTAACTTCTGAATGGTAACTTGTGATTTGAGGCACTGAAACCAAAATACTTTAACTTCTCATGTGAATTTTAATTTTAAAATGGCAAGGTTTTTATTAAACAATGTAGATGAGACGTTCCCCTCTACGTTTCATTTCCCCACGGAAATGAAAACATCCAAAAAGTTTATTTTGAAAAACATGAAAGACAGTTTACTTGCACCCTGTTCTGCTTACTGTACATAAACAGGCCCTAAGTATCTGAACCATTGGCCATTCTTCCCCAGTGAATCTGTTCATCTATCTGTCTTATTCATTTTGTCGTATGTACACAAGAACTTAAATCACATCAGCGTGGGCTGCCTGGCAAATAATGGATGAAGCTCACTTGGAATCTGAGAATAAAGCACTAACTGTTTGCAAGGTGAAAATATTAAGAGCAGTATATGATGTTAACTCGCAGAAGATGCCTAGTGCATGGCCTAAACAGACTTCAGTTTATTAATACAACAAACAATAGGTTACAGATAGCTCATACAGAAACTGTTGCCCCTGATTCAGTATGCCTTCAACAGGATCACTCCAGTGCACAGCTGTAGATTCTGCTTGGTTTTGGTTTAGAGTGTATTGTGCAAGCTGTGCACGGGGCGTGCTTGTGTAACTATAGCATATGCTGTTTATGAGCCTTTAATCCTTCTTCACTCAAGGCAGCAATGCACCCCCTGCAGTTTACAGTTTTCCATCTGTATCACTTGTCTTGAGTTGTAGATTTGTGTCTTGGCATAGTACAGAAAAGGTATCTTCAATCTTCTCATGACAGTTGCATAGCATTTTTCTAGGCTGACAGTCCTTGTCAAATCAAAACCAAACCTGCTACATTTAGTGCCGCAAGTTATTCATAAGGAATTTTAAAATGCCCAACACTTAGTTTACAGAATTGTAACTTCCCATCCAATTTGCCTTAGTAGCACAGCAGCATTTCACACAGGGACAGACAGAATATATTCAACCTTTCCTACAGTAGTTTCATATTCTCTAATAAGATGAAATATAGTGTTTTGAAAATGTATATTCATGTATGCCCCTAATAGCCTAATGATTGTAAAATTAATTCAGGCATGTAGAATACCTAGATAAATTCATCTAGTAACATGTGACTTAGGCCTGTGCATTGTCTCATCAGGCCAACCATAATTTTAATTTGTAACTGTGCCATATTATGTCAGCAAATATTTAGCAAAAAAAGAGCGTTCAGCTTAGGTTTGAGTGCATCTAGTTTCACCTTATTTTCCCCTATTGCAAGTTTGGCTGATACATCCTAGATGTATCCTGATAGAAAGTTTATAACGGATTAAAATGTTCACATCAAAAGAGTTAAAAAAAGAGAAAATATTAGCTGGTCTGAGTGGCAAAGGGAACGGATTCTTAATTACCTATCCATCCCTTTTATTACTGCCATTTAACTTCAATCTGCAAGTCTGTGCTTTTGGGTAACAGTGCAAAGAGTTTAGAGTAACATTCTTCCAAATAAGAAAAACTAAAACTTAGTTGTGTTAGCTAATGAAGAGAGAGAAAATACAAAGAGATTGTTAAACTATTATGTCCCTACATAAAAATGTTCTTCACTGAGAACTGTAATAAACAGAGGTAATATTTTTAATTCTGGTATGGTAACTCTGCATTTATTGCAGTGTGACTCAAACCACATTTTTATCTCAGAGAAAACAATACAAAACCAGAGAAATGTCCTTTGAGATAAAAAAAAAG